GCAGACACCAAATTCCTGCTTAATAGGGAGTGGTGAGGGGGAGGGGAGGGGGTTAAATAGAAATGTCAACTTCTGTGAGCCTTGGGGACTTTTTATGAAGTTGTAGGTGCAGTGACTTGTTTAACTTTACAGAAAGTAATGTTAGGAAATTTATTGAAAAGGAAGGGGAAGAAGGGAAGGAAATGAATAATTGAGACAAACTGATGTGCATCTTGGGTTTGAAAGTCATGTGGGAACAGAAAGCGATCTGATGCATGGGCACACTTCTAATAGGACATTTCCTCTTAGAATCATACGTGTCCACGTATGGTTCAGTAACTTCATTTTAGTTGAAAACTAACTTTGTCAGTATTTACTAGAGAGTATAGTTTTCTGTTTTAAATTAATATGAATTCTGGTGGTATTTTTTAAATAGTAGAAATACATGGCTTTTTTTAACTGTTAGCCAGAAAGCAGTAGGAATTCAATCCTTTGTATATATTGTCGTTAATGTTTCTGTTGAGATTACACTTGCCACATGATCATGGTCAATTTTGTAAAAATTGTAGATGTTCCATTCTTTACAACAAGTGATTGGCTGATGACACCAATTTTAAAAGTTCTGTGTTATTTCTTTTACTGATAAGAGATTGCTTTTTCAGTTTCAAGAATTCTGAGCAAGATGGTGAAATAGAACTCGAATTAGAATTTTTTTCTTTTAAAGTTGCACTCTGACAGCCAGGTGTTCATGCTACTTTAACAAGTATTAAGGCAGAACGAAGGGCAGAGTGGCACCAGAGATTTAATTCATTCAGTGAGGTGTAAGGTTTTAGGTGTCATAGGTTTTAGATGTGACAGCCTACTTCATCAGAGCTAACTAATTCTCCGAACACGTGTTTAGCAAGAGGTGGTGAAAAGCCATATAGAAACATTATTTGTTGGCCTACAGTTGTTCAGCTAATCCCATTTTTATGTAGTGCTGATAAAAATCCATTTACCAGCTGTACATAGTGACTTGACTGATAGTGACATACATGTTGTTTTACATTGCAAAATAACCTGCTTTTGCTGCATAGCAAATCACCTAAGGAGTTTATAGCATTGAAAATTAGTTGATGATACAAATAATGCATCCAACTATGTATATATTAAGGTTTGTGTATATACCTTTTTAGGGGAAAATTGAGTAGAAACCTATATTGTTAAATAATAAAAAAACTTGTACCTTTGGTCATTCTGTTACTGTACTGATTAATACGCTGAATTTACTGACATCAAAATAGTGTGGCAAGACTGGTTAAATCTCTGCCTACAAATCATTATAGATGTCTTGTTAACTGTCTGTAGCATGTTACTTAATGTCTCTAGTTGTTGAACGGGAATAAATAGGGTCTCATCTCTTTTTTTTAATCCCTCTCTGTCCATATTTCTTTAATAAACAGTCCTGTTTGTGGCCTTCTCTCTTCTCCCCCTCTTTCTTTTTTCTAAAAGTACTTAAGTGGCTCTAGGTATTGAAATTAATTTCCTTGTGCTGTTCTGTATTTTTGACTCTTGTTTATGTTTGCATTTCTAGGTGATAACTATATTGGGTCTTTTCCATTTCTCCTAGACAATTCTTCTTTTACAACATCAACCAATCTACTTTTCAACTACTTGTATTTGACCTTCTGGGTACTTAAGTTGTACTAGTATGATTTTTCTCTTGGGACTGGCAGCTTAGTCCAGGAGAGCATTCCTTTGTCCTCTACTTGGAACTAGAGTCCATTATACAGCGCGTATGTACCCTTAATTGCAGCAAAGTTGCTTCTATGAAAAACAGTCATCAAGCTGGTAACTGCTACCTTTGAGTGATGGGCATTGCTCTCTGATCCAAGGGCTTTAGCAAATTGGGGATGAAGGCAAATGGTTAATCTACTCAGCCTGAAAAGAAAGGCAGCATCATGTACAACCGTGGAGATTTCCTGGCTACAAAAACGTCAGGAGAACATGGAGTGAATAACTCCTCTTATAAATAAATTTGAGCGGGGAGGATGAGAGCAACTTCCTAGAAAAAGCTGCATTCTTTTGTTGCAGGTGGACTTTGTGAATAAAGGTAGAATATCGGAGACTTCTGCTTACATACTGGACATCAGCAAAGATTTAGTTTTACTCTTAGAAAGCGAAATAGGTGGACATGTTTCTCATTTTTCATGCTTTTTAATATGTGCTGAGATGCATTTGGTAAAGTAGTTGAGCCGAGTTACTTCTGTTGGGAAGTAAATTGTTTACCTTGTCGCTGGACAGAGTAATTCTGCAAAAAACATTGTAAAACTCTCTTTTTTAAAGCCGTCTTTCTGTGTGAAAGCCACTGAATCTCTTGCTGCACATTACACTTAATATGTGTTATGGGCATTTAAAATGCAAGCAGCCACTCGCTCAAGCAATAACACATGCTAAGTGTACTCATGCAGAAAGTTAAAACTCTGTTATATGAGCAGTTTGTCTAGTTTGTATTGAGTAATGTGTTCAGCTGTCATGTAGCTGTTCCATGGAGATAATATGAACAATTTGTGGTCTTCACGCAATTGTGACATCAGCCAGGGTTCCCTCTGCTGTATCACGTCCTACGTAGGACAAGGAAAGCCATACATGTCAGGAAGAAAGATCTGGGATCTTTCACTTTTCAGGGTCCTCCAGGATCAAGTTGAAAGCCAGCTGCCCACAGCCATGGGATCACACCAGAACCAGTCCAAGACTCTGATGCAATGCCAGGGCTGGGACCAATAATCAGCAAGTTGTGCATGTTGGAGATTGTAGTAAACATTACTGTATGACTGTTCAGAATGCATTCTAAATTTAATACCATATGGATTTAACATGGACTCTCTCGTACGACAAGGCCCTCAGTCAATTTACCCGAGAAATAAAATACTCTGTAGCCAGCTACATAGCATACCAATAGGTTGCGCTAACTAGTTTGATGTATTTTTCTTCCTTCAGCCTTCGGAAGCTTCAGGTGATGTGATTAACCTGGCCCAAACTGTCCACATTCAGCCACAGCCTGAAAGTGGGGAGAGAGAGAGAGTATTGCCAGAATGGAGTGAGAAAGTAGCCCATGGAATCTTATCAGGTATTGCCAAAATAAAGGATTCCTGTTTTTGTAAACTTCCTTCCAGTAGTGTTTTAAACCATATTGTTTAAACTCACAGCTGCTAATAAGCACTAATTCAGGCCACTTATTAGAACTGTTATAGTCCCTGTGAGTTGCTTATGTTAATGAAAAATATGTCTATGTCCTGTTTTTTCTTAAAGATAAATATCCTTGATTCGGTCCTTAACTTGTCATGGCAAAAGCATGAATTTGTCAGATTTACACCTCCAGCACAACCTTAAGGCCTGTGTTGCCTGTGCTGTGACCATGGGTCCTAATGGGGTTCAACTTGAATGGGTTATCAGAAAAGTAATATTTAGACCAACACTACTTGTGTGCAAATGCTCTTTTTTCTCAAGAGCTTTCTCCAACTGATCATACCTTGTTGCTGTGTATATGAGGAGACTGGAATGTGACATTTGGAAAACAACTAACACCTAGGAATGTGCGGCTATTATCCTTGACCTTGCTAATACAGTGAAATGACTAACCTGGATCTGTATGAAAATTAAGCTGGATGAGGACTTGCTAGTTCTGTCTTAAATCGAGCAAGATGAAGATGGGCTGGAGGGGAAGTGGGTGAGAGGAACCAGAAAATAGTACTGCTGTAACTAATTTGTATTGCAAGTTGTACTCCCTCTCAGAGGTGCCATCTGTAGTATAGGTATATAACTTAAGAATGTTACTAGATCAAAGGCTGGAAGGAGAGAGAGAAAAGAGCTTGTCAAAAGCTTTTTTGACAAGCCTATAAATATTACACATCTTAAACAAATTTATTTTTGTTTTGAAGGGGCATCCTGGGTAAGCTGGGGCCTAATAAAAGGAGCTGAATACACTGGCAAAGCCATCCACAAAGGAGCTTCTAAATTGCGAGAACACATTCAACCAGAAGAAAAACCTCTGGAAATCAATCCAACTGTAGCAAAAGGGCTTCATGTGGCAAAGCAAGCTACTGGGGGAGCTGTGAAAGTCAGCCAATTTTTAGGTAATTCATTCTGTATTGAATAAAACATGGACTTTTTGCAGGAACTAGATGAGGGACGGAAATGACCTGATTTGCAGGTCAGCTAGTTGTTCCTGTCTATCACCTGTTAGATCAGTTATCCCTATTTTTTTTTTTTACTGTATCTGGCCCTTAGATGGTCTCTTCTAAACCCATAGGTCAAGCATGTTGCTCTGATATTTCATGCAGCCTTAAATTCACTTTCAAATATACAGGTTGGAGTCAACTTGGCTGCATTGAATTCAAAAACTGGCTAGTCTCATTATTGTTGAAAGTTGTCATGTTTTTCTTATGTGGCAATTACCTGCATTTTAAAGGTAATAGTCATAATGCGGCATTTAGCCTGTAGCTGTCAACACATCTGGACCAGTGTAGAAAATGTCTTCAAATCTTGCTATTTAAAATTAGACCAATACGTCAATATTTAGACATCTTGGTAAGAAAGGGCCTGGTATTTAGAAGTGCTGAGCAACCCTAGCTGCCAGTAATTTCATTCTCTTTGTTTGTTTGTAACTTAGTAGTCTCCTGGGGCCAAATTGATATACCTTGTGGTGCACCTGGAGGAGTCAGTCCTAGTAAGAGACAACATATGGCATTGCATTTACATAGAAAAGATGCAGAAAAATCTGTATTAGATATTCAGGTTCATTTTTGAGTTTTATTTTATGGCTAGTTCCTTAACTACAAGGTCAGCTTTTATTTTTTTTAAGAGGGTTTTTTTTGGAAACTCTGGAAAGTAGGCTATTTCTGTACTTAAATTTGAATGTAGAAGGCTATCATTAACTTAAATGGAATAAGAGTGCAGTAGGTTTGGGGGGCTCAATAGAACTTCTAATTCAGTGAACCAAACAATTTTCCCTAAAGTTTTATAAGAGCTTTAAAGAGACTTAATTTGAAAATGTATTTGTATATTTTGTTAGTTGAAGGAGTGTGTTCTATAGCAAGTTGTGTTGGAAAAGAGTTAGCCCCACATGTGAAGAAGCACGGAAGCAAATTAGTTCCAGAGTCCCTTAAGAAGGACAAAGATGGGAAATCCACTTTTGATGGTGCCTTGGTGGTAGCAGCAAGTGGAATTCAAGGTAACAAGAAAAGAATTTTCCTAAATACGTATCATAAACTATATAACTAACTTTAATTTATCAGTGTGCTAGCCTAAAGTAAGAAGTTTGCTTACTCTTACAGGATTTTCAACGGTGTGGCAAGGTTTGGAATCTGCAGCAAAATGCATTGCTAAAAGTGTTTCTTCTGAGACTGTAAACACTGTCAAATACAAGTAAGTTGGTTCTTTCAGGTTTAAAATTGGTCTGTACCCTGGATTACACTGTGGTTTATATAAGAATCTTGGCAAATACACAGACTTCTCACAGGCTAGTAGTTTAGGAAGCCTCACTATACTTTGCTTTAGCCATGCAGTGAATGGTTGGTTGTGGTTTTTTTGCTTGTTTTGTTTTTTGTCCCCCCCCTAGTATGTGAATAGTAGCAGACATGCCCTTTACCTAAATCGTGGAACTGAATAAATGTTCCTGTTGGATGGTGTTTTGTTTTATTCTAATCCCTGTGTCAATATTTCTGTTCCACCATGCCAGAAATCATGAGAGTAACTTTTAAAAAAAATCAAGAGACTGGCACGTAAATCATGAGATGCTATTTTTCAAGTGTGTGGGGGGGGGATGTTATTTGTGAAAGTGTTGGGGGCTGTGGGTGGGGTTTGGAGCCTGGAGAAGGGGGTCCCCACACTGGCAGGATGTGGGGTACTGTGGGGCAGGAGTGAGAAGCAGCAACAGGGCTGGATGGGCTGTGGCTTGGGGGTGAGTGGCAGACTGACAGTTACACACAGAAACGTTGACAGACACATAGCTGGTAAGTGGAGGGAAAAGGATGGGGGAAGAGGGTAGGAGGGGGAAGATCAAGCCCCTGAGCTCAGCCATGCAGTGCCATTGCTGTCTACCAGACAGGCAGGGGACACGGGGTGTGCTGGCTGCGCAGCACATCCCCTGCCCACCTGGTGGCAGGAGGCACACTGGGGTCGCATGGCTGAGTTACTGGGGCAAGGCAGGGTGTAGAGCCCCAGCCCATAGTGGGCAACCCGTGTCTGCCCTGTGGGGCGCACATGCCTGATCTCTTTCCTCTTCCCCACTCCCCCAAGCCCTTTCCCTCCACTTACCAGCTGAGAAAATACCGAGATTTGAGGGTTGGATTGAGAGATTGTGAGCTGGAGTTATTTTGACTTTGAAATCCTGAGTCTTGTGACGGTTTTGCAACAGTTGTCATTACTGCTGTGTCCTAAAAAATTTTCAGGACGTGTTGGCAGAAATCCTATTCAGATTTTGATCTGGATGTTACAACATAGCATCATTTTTCTTTTCTTTCTTTTTTTAAAGTATTCAGTCCACAAATACTTCACTGTGTTTTGAATTACTTAACTCTTGTTGCTACTTCAGTTTCCTAAAGCTACCAAAGTTCTGAGGAAGTAGAAATAATATGACTACATAAGGAAGGGTATTCCTTTTCCCACCTACCTGTACTTGGAAGTGTTAAAGAAAACCTTGGAAGGGTTTTGAAGGAGGAAACTTCAATTATAGGCAGTAGCGGTTGGGTGAACAAAGGAGAGTGTGACTAGAGCTTTTTCATTTATGTTGGGCATAGAAATAGATATTGCAGAAGCAAATAGAATGGAGTGGTGGGGAAGGGTAGAAGGATTTGGGAGCATTGGTTACTAAACTGATGGGAAGACAGATGGTAGAAATTAGAGATGAGGAGATATTGAAGAGAACTGTTTGAGGAGATGGCAGAGATGAAAGCATGCAGGAGGTATCCAGGTGCGGTGGATATGATTAAAAGTGGGAAGTTTCTGTTGTGATGCATTATACACTGATGACTGAAAAGGTACTCCTGCAGTGCTGGGGGTGCTACTTCATAGCGACAGGTCTCTCTTTATAAGTAGACCCAAGAAATACAGTAAGGCCAGTGGAAAGCTGGGTAGAATACTTGTAAGTGGCATGGAAAGAAAATAATTGATGTCTTTGTAATATCCTTATGTCTAGGGTACTTATTTTTAAAAGAAGTTTTGTTGGCTTCCCTCTGTGTAGGAAGCATCTGTAGTAGCTATACTTAAAATATTGGCAGTGGGCATACTGGTTCTTTGTCCCTTTTGTGAACTAGACATGTCCAAGTAACATATATACATGTGAGAGTAACCATCCTGCTTCTCACTGAGGTCTGTTTCTCTTCCATATATCACTTTAGAAGAGTCTGACCTATCAAAACTTCATCTCTCATCTCTGCCAAGCTAATGGAGTGGTAATCACTCCACTTGCTCCAAATGGAATGATAATTATTTCTAACAGGAAATGGCTAGAGGGGTTGTATCCTGTTGCCCTTTTAAAATCATACTAATGTTTGTTTCTATTTTAGATATAAAAATAGGAAACAGAGAGATCAACAATCAACGGCTACTAAGAGTGAAAAGCACTAAGTAACTTTAAATCTTGCAGTTAGCTACAACTTGCTTTATTTGATGATTGAAGATTATTTCTTCTACAGGACTTTTAAAACACTTTGTGAAGTTTCAGTGTAGATGAGGGGTCCTCAACCCTGGCCAGTGGAGTGGTCATCCAGACCTTTGGGCTCCCAGCAGGTCTGAAAATTTGGCAGCAGGAGAGCTAATATTAATTAGGAGTCCTGTTATCAAAATTTCAGACCCCTGGAGGACGCCCATATGCTGCATAACCTGGCCCTTTGTGCTATATCGCAGGGCTGGCCTGGCATGGAGGGTTTGCAATGCCTGATCATGCAGACCAACCACACACCACTCATTCAGCCCAGAGGCCAAAAGGTAGGTTGTGCACCACTGATTTAGATGGCAGAACAGATAATTTTTCTTTTGTATCACCCTTCAGGAGTTTATTTTATTTTTAAGACCATGATAAATTCAGTTAATTTCACTGCTAAATTGGGCAAATTAAGCATAAAAGATGCAAAGTTAAGAGAAAACCATGTTTCCACTCAGCTAAAACATTAGATTTAGCATCTTGGACTGTAATACTCTCTTCTTGTTACCCCGTTTCTCTAGAACCCTTTTTAAAAAAAGGGAGAGATCTTGGAATGTTAAGTCCAGAAAGCCTGTAAGTTAGTGGGAAAATGACCTTAACTTGCATCTAGCACTTCATTTGCCACTGTAATTCCATAAAGGCAAAATCATTATGTAGGTGAGTGAATAATTTTGACATTGGAATTAAATTTACAATACATTCAAGTATAGCTACAGAAGTAGTAGCTGTTTGGATATCACACTACATACTAGTGTGCTTTTTTCAGTGCTTTTTTTTGTTTTTTATTTGAGCTGGGGTGAATATTCAGTACTTCAAATAGTAAGGCTTAGGAACAAAGATAAATCAATTATATTCTTGTGCACTGGATGATGATGTAAGTGCAGCTATGACTGTTGATGCTCTAGCAAACTGACTTAATGTTTCAAAGGTGGAAACAACTAATCAAGCTGGTGAATATGTATTGCTTTTTGCTGTGAAACTAATTCTGTGATCTGCCTTCATAATTAAGGCTGCTACTATATCAACAAAGAATTTGAAAGAAACATACTACAGGCTTTTCCTGTTGAATTTTAATGTTGGTTCCAGCTTTCAGCTGCAAGGGCTGATCCGCTAATACTAAATAAGGACCTGGATTTTTGTATTTGACGCACACTTACCTTTATTCTCAAAACAAACAAACGAGCAAAAAAAAAAAAATACCTGACCCTGATATCCTAAGGGTATATTTATGGATTAAAAAGAAACCCTTGCCACTTTTGCCAGGTACATTAGAGAAAGATATCAAGAGCAGTGATGGGAGGGCACCCTTAACACAGCTTCACTGCCCAACTACCAGGTTGGGTAGCAGGTATGCTTCTCTGGCACTCAGGAGTATGACGACAAATATAACTTTTGATCAGATTACTAAAGGCAGCAAAAGATTCTATCTCTGATGAGCCAGGCCTCAAAGGAAGCAGCAGCAAGCATGGCTTATAGGCTGTAATTCCAGTAGTCAGCTAGGTGAAATTCCAGAGTTTGCTAAAGCACTGTCTAGCAGCCTGCCTTAGGTGGACTGTGGTGTTCTCTAGCCATATCAAACTCTTCTGTAAAATAGCTGACCCTATATGCTAGGGAAACTTCTGAGTGGAAAGATCTAACTTGCCTACCTGTTTAAGCTATCACGTTAATATAGATAGGGCAGACCACAGACCATCACTGGGGCCTATGCCTTAATATTTGGCTAATCTCACCTCTTGTGCAAGTCTTTTAATACAGTGGGGGCACCCTTTCTGGCAGGTGCCACAGGTAAGCTCCACATGCTTCCTGAGTACCACTTCGATTTCGGCTTAGTCTGCTGCACTGTGCTCTACGTTCCCTGCTTGACTTGTTGCTTTGTTTCCTTCTCTCTGCCGTGTGCTGCCTGATCTGTTCTTTTGCTTTATGGTCTCAGCCCTATCTGTTGCTGCGTTCTCTGGTCTCTCTCTGATCTACTGCATACTACACAGACTGCCTGTGCCACCAGACATGAATGCCAGAGGTTGGCCATCCCTGCCCTAATGCAACAAGGAAGTGCAGAGGGAGCTACACACTAAGTTTTCCCAGGGATTTGTATGAGGTCTCATTTCCCATTGTTTCCTACAGTTGTAAATAAAAAATAAAAAGGAGAGGGGGAGTACTGGCAAGTTTTCCATCCCCCAGCACCATTTATGTCTAGGTCCTGAAGAATGTATGGAACAGGATTGAGGAATCATTGATATTCTGACACTGGTAAATGTTCTGAAATTAATGAGCACTACGATACATTAATTTCAGCAACTTTCAGTATTCCTGTTTTAAATATTTTAACAAAGCTCATTAAAGAACCAAGGCTATGTTCTTTCATATTCTTTTGTGTGCATATTCTTTGGAATGAACTCAGTTCTCCTTTCCTTAAAATGAATTGGACTACTTTTCTCACCTATACAACCACTGTGTTTTTAAGGTATGGAGATGATGCCGGCCATGCTACAGATAACGCTGTGAATTCTGCAATCAACGTAGGAGTGACAGCATTTAACATTGACAACATTGGCATCAAGGCTATGGTGAAGAAAACTGCAAAGGAGACTGGCCATGCTGTGTTGGATGAATATAAAGTACTGGAAAAGGAAAAGAAGGAAAAAAAGGATGAAACATGAAACCACTGAATTAATTTCTTAAAGCCTTACAGTATAGAGTTAACTTACTTTAAATGAAAGTATTGCTAACCTGTAATTTAACATAAATTTATCTTTTATTTTTCTAACTTATTGAAACTTGCACTTGATGTAATAGTTTTCTCTTTCTTTAGCCTTTCCTCCAGTGATGTGGCAGTCTAACCACTAGAAGATTATATATTTGCAGTGAATTGTGCTATCTTTAAAAATAAATTTCCAGATGCACTTTTTTTCAAAATATTAAAATGCAGCACTAAGATAAATAATCTAATCTTAATTTATTCTGAGTATTTTTGTAAATTCATAGTTGCAGAGATGGCACTGAGTAAAGCTATTAGAGTTTATAATTATATTTTTCATTATGGTTTTAATTAATTTCAGCAAGCCAGAAAGGGCATAAGATCAACAATTACATGATTATTAGCAGGACAAAAGACTATTCTCTAGAACCCAAGGAATAGAATCCAGAGCTAATTTCAGCAGTGCATGTATTTATATAAGACCAAAACTCATAAGGAAATGAAAGATGAGCCTCAGGTAACTGTAGCCACCCCTTTTTGAATTAAAAGTTTATCAGATTTACAAACCAAAGATTTGACTACACTGTTTAAAGTTACAAGTCACCTTTGAAAGAGGAACACTTGAAAACCCAGAAATAGTCAATAGGAGGAACATTAATCATTTTGTGAGAGCTGAATTTGTTTCCTTTTCAAATTCAGTCTTATATAAACTAGACTATATTTCCTCTGATCATATAAGTCTGTAGACTCCAGCTAGAAAACTGTTCTGAATAAAGGCTTTCATTTACCTTTTATTTGCTCTGCTTTACGATCAAGCTACTATAATGGCAGTGTCTTCAGAAGGATCTGTAATAGTGTAACAATGGATAGTGTTGCCCTCTAATGGAATGTAAATGAATTTCATTTAAATTGTTTAGTGCTAGATACTGAAGCAAATACTGAAGGGCAGTATCCTTATTAACAGGGAACTTTCAGTCTTGTTAAGAGTACAGGGTTAAGACATGACCACACAATTTAAGTGCTGGAGGGGGGAGAGAAACCCAGGAAAAGTAACTTGCTTTATTTTGCCAGGTTTCTAAGGGGAGAAGAAATTGACATTTCTTGTACAGTTTGCTGTATGGCAACTCCATACATAGGGTTTTGTGAACAAGCTGAGAGAGACTGCACGGCTACTGGCTTAAAAGTTGTGTGGTGGGTTTCACAACCCTGATATGCTCTAACCTTGACTGAGCCTGCACTGTGAACAAAAGTGCCGCGTTTATAATCCGTCTACATTCCATCCTAATGGGAGCTGCTACTTTTATAAATAACTGGCTGTTAAGTGATACATACTGATCAGACTTCAACATATACAGCTATTAAAAAAATAAATAATATATATATACAGGAGGAAGTGGAGCATTTTTGGCTGTCTGTTGCATGCATGCACCTGCTGGTGATGAGAAGCTGAGGACGAAAGAGTAATCACATGAAGTGCAATTTATGGAGTGTCTTATTGAATAAAATTGGTCAGAGACTTGTGTTTGGCATGATTTATGATTTCAGAGCTAGGGACAAGCTTTCAGTTGGGAGTCAAAAAGAAAATGTGGGAAGCTTCCTCCGTGACAGACTAGACCTCGATCTTCAGTCGTGTCCCCAGGAGCCCTGGCTTGTACAACATCAGTTCAGCAAGGCTTTTTCCCCTGATATTTTTATACTAGAGAAAGCTGGGGCATGGATGCGGTTAGGGTGCTGCAGAAAGTATGAGGCCAGGTTTCTTGGGAAGATGACATCTTTTATTAGACCAACTAAGGCTCCGCAAAGATTGTTCTGGGTACAAATGCTTTTCTTCAGGTATAGAGGAGCACAGGCCCGGTCCGCTTCTGCAGCTGGTGCCTGGGTGAGGCTCCGCTCCCCGCAGGGCCTGCACGGGCGCGTCCCGCGGAAGCTGCTCGGACAGCGTTTCCTTGCTTACAGCGCACTCCGCTGCGACTGACCCCAGCACCTGATTCTTGTGGGGGCGGGGGTAGCCGCGTGGGTATGTGAGCAACTACAGTAGAGGGTGATTGGCCCCGCCCCTGCCGATGGAATCTCGCAGGGAGGGGGAACCTGACGGAGCTGTCAGGTGGACCGCCGGCCTGCCGCGCTGGAGGGCAGTCATGTGACCCGACACTTACTGTTGCTGGTGGCGCGTCACGTGAGCGCCGCTCCGGGCGACGGCGTTCGTGTCTCCAAGGGCAACGGCCGGCGGGCGGGGCCATGGGGGAGGCGGGCGGCGCGCGCGACCCCGAGCAGCTGCGGCTGGAGCTGGGGCAGGAGGAGCGGATGATGTAAGTGGCGGGGCGGTGCCTCAGGCTGAGGGTCCTGTGGGCGGGGTCAGGCTGAGCCAGGAGCTGGGGGACAGGAGAGGAGGCCAGGACAGGCACTGGGAGCCAGGGAGGGGCAGAGCCAGTGGGGCTGGGGGGAGCACAGTGGTGCCGCCCTGCTGGGCGCACAGGAAAGGGGCAGGGAGCATCACTGCCTGCCGGACATGACCTCCTCCAGCAACACCCAGCGCCCATCCTTCTTCCTCTGCAGCCACTGGCTGGGGACCTTCCTGGGAAGTGTGCTCACTCCCAGGGGGTGCATCCTGCCACTTGTGTTAGCAACTGTCTCAGCAGAGGCCCCTGTGAGCCATCTCACGGTTGTGACTTGCTGCCGGCCCGCATAGAGGTCACCGTTCAGGCCCAAGATAAGACTTGCTGGGTTTTCAGTTTGCCCAAAGGAAAAGGATAAATAACCTCCCCCTCCCCCCCCCGAAAACTTTTAAGAACTAAGAACATGAGAAGCTGTATTTAAAAAAAATCATTGCTGGACTCTGGAAACCAAGCATTTAGGAGTCAGGAAATGCCCAAAACGTCTGTGCAATGTGAATGTGCCTCCTGTGTGCTGGTGCGTTACATTACAGTCTTTTGATTACATGAGCACGTACTATGTTTTTTTCTGTAGGACCTTTGTTGCATTCAGCATTTGGGTTGAAGGTGAATTGGAGATGGTTGGTGATGGAGAGCAGCATATGCGGGACCCCCATTTAATTTGTTGCAGAAATTGGAAAATGTGCAGTGACAGAGACAGGATGGTCTCCTGGTTAAGCCTGATTCAGTGTATGCCATCCTTTCTGTGCACTGAGACAGGGGTCCTCGGGGAAAGAGTAGTGAGAAGTATGTGATCATGTAATTAAACCCTTTGTTGTAAAGCATACATACCAGGGAGCCCGGTTAGGATGTCAGATATTACTGACATTTCCTAACTTGAATGTTTGACTTTGGAATCTTAGGACTGTTCTTTTAATGGAGTTGAATGTCTGTGAGAATGTATGTGCATGGCCACAGTATACTCACATGTTGCATACACACGCACCTCTTCAAAACACCAGCTGTGTGAATCTGAAGTGTGCATTATATGCGACAAATACAGTAAGAGCAATTTGCCACTTACTGAGCAAAAGGAAAAGTAAAATCTGTGATCTAAAGCAGGGTTCTCAACCTTTTTCGTTCAGGCACCCATTTGCCAAGGTCGATGGCTTGTCCAGACCCGCAACCCCCTGGCCCTGCCAGTGCCCAACCCACAGTCCCCTGCCAGTGCCCCTCACCCCCAAGCTACAGCCCCCTGATTTTTCGGCCATGTTGGTTTCCCTCATTCCTGATCTGCAGTCCCCTGCCCCCCCACCCCCCAGTTCTGCTGGAGGGGACCCCCAGCTGCCCCTGTCCTGCTTAGGCCAGAGCACAAGCAGTGAGTGCAGGCCCCTGTGTATATGGGCATCGGCCCTGTGCCACTGGCCCAGGCATGCAGCTCCCCACTCCTTCTTCCCCAGCTAAAGGGCCAGGCATCTACTCCCCCCCCGACTTCCCCTGCCCTGCCACAGCCCTATGCCTGGCCACAGTCCCCAGCACCTGTGCATACAGACACACATCCCCCCCAGCACTCCGGACAGTCCCCTGGACTTCCATCCCCCGCTCCCCATACACTTACCTATGTCCAGTGGCTGGGACTGCTCCCACAACCTGGCCTTGCTGTATGCTGGCCATGTGCATTTGCACGCTGATGCACTTGTGCCTGCAACCACCAGTCATCTCAAGCAGCGCTTGCAGGCTGGAACACATCCAGCCTGCAAGGGAAAACCCGCGCTTTCGCAGGCTTTTCTGGGACTTCCTTGCAACCTGTTCACATATTCTTGTGACCCACGTTTGGGTTGCGACCCACCAGTTGAGAAACACTGATCTAAAGAGAGCATAGCAGTGAGCAGGTTCAGCTCCCTAGCTGCTGCTATTCAGTTACTATGAGGAAAGATCTTTTTTTTCATTCTACCCTTTAAAATTCAGGCATATATCTTATTTTGGGGCATATTGTATATAACAAAATACAGTAGTGTGTCTAATGTATACATATTATATACACAATAGTTTTGTAGGAGGGAATGACAGTGGAATGCTGTGGTGTGGCACAATTAGGAACGTACCAAATTTATGTTTTCGCAGATTCCAGAAAATCTGGGCAATGCCCACGAAATCCACGGAAAAAACCCTCAAATTTATTGAGTGCTGCAGCAGCCTGGTAGCGAGGGTGGGCTGCCTGCTCTAAAGACTGCCAGCAAGGCAGCTGCTACCCCTGCCCTTTGCCACTGATGTGCTGCGAGGGCTGCCTGTCATGTGGCCCCATCCTTCTCCACCAACTGGCAACAAGAGGCAGGGCTGCCTGGCAGGCAGCCCTTGCAACCAGTCAGCGGGGAGGGGTGGGACCACATGACAGGCAGCCTCCACAGACAATCAGTGCCCAGGGGCAGGGCCACCAGGGCCCTTCGGCCAATCGAAGGGGGCACGCTCCACCTGCGAAATGGCTGCCCAGGTCTGAGTTGTGCCTGCAAAATCAGGGGGCAGCCCTCGCAAATTAGGTAGGTCCCTATACATAATGTTTCTCTTTGTGGCCTATAGAAGACACATTATTCCTGTCATCCCTGCACCATGTGGGTTGGAGCATGGCACTTCTGATTTAGAAGTAACTTGCCAGATTTGACCTCTTCTTTTTGTAGAACCCAGATGGCTTCTGATGACTTTCTCTGAGGTTCAAAGGGCACAGCTCATGCTGGAAACTTTTCTCTGAGTGGCCATGAATTCTTCCATCTTGCTTACCCCTGTACAATCATACTTCTGCACTATGTCCAAGGTGAAGATGACTAGAACCTGCTTTGTTTTGTGCTAATGAGCTGTGGCCATCCAGCTCCTGGCAAGTTGCTTTTAAGTCATTCCATTTGGTTGGGCAAAGTTGGGGGCAGTATTAGCACATATACTAAACAGAAGTGCAGGTCAGAATGGGATAGGCTATTGAGTTATATTGGATACCAGTTTTAATTAAAAACGTGATCTTCAGAGGCACAGAGGATGAACAGTGACATTGTGCTTAGCACCTCAAAATCTGGTCTGTAGAATACAATCCTCCCCCCTGACGCCCCAGTCTTTCAGTGTTATCCAGAATTAGAATTAGAGAGAGGAAGGAAAAAGAGATCCACTGATATAGAGTTACAGGGCTACTTTTACCTGTGTGTGTGGTTCTAAATAAGAAAGGAGATGCAAAGGCAGTTATCTTTCATGGTTTGTTTATTCCACTAAAGCTTTTTTGCTATGTAATATATTTGTTACCTAGCATTTAATTTATTTACAGCAGTGCCGCATATACTGCTCCAACTCCACTAGAGTTTTATCTTTCAAAGAACTGGGTGTCAGCTTAGAAAACTGACACCGGTTTGCTAATTTGGATGGAATGAGCACTCCCAGAGGCAAAGTTGTTTGACATGACCCCGTTACCTTATGCTAACTAGTTAAGCATCATTTATGGTTTTGAGTAGATTTCAGTCTACTTAGTCCCATGAGAGACATCTTAGAAAAGTTGTACCAAGGCATGGGATTGTATCGTTAGGATGTGTGTGAGACAGAATAAAAAAATACATATACAACATTATGAAATTTGATTAGGTTGGTTATGCAAAACATACTTAATCAGAATTGGTCAAAATCCCTTTGTCAAAGAGAGGATAGAGAGAAGAGCTAAAGTCTCTCGTTTTGTCAAATAAATCCTTCTTAGGGGAGAGGAAGGGATTAAGAAGGATTAGTCCTATTGTTGAATTTCAAGTGGACTGCTATGCATGGTAGTTACCTTTTCTGTGTCTGACAAACCAGAGAGATGCAAGGGCAAGAAGTGTTAGGATAGTAAAGGGGCAGGGGGGGACAAGACTATGTGCATGCTTTACTTTTGTACTATATATGCCCTTGCAGCACTACAAAAAATAATTGTCTATGTGTTCAGGCTGTTTATAGCACCTTTTGTAGTGCCACACATAATGTGTAGACAGTTACCTTAGTGCTACTCGGGATTTCTTAGTTCTTTAGCATTCTTGAGTGCTCTGCCTTCCCCACGCACACCCAAAGGGGAGGGAGCGAGAGCAACTGGATCCCTAACAACCTGTGGGGAGCAGAGCTGCATCTCTGCTTGCTGCAGGGGCTGTCACAGGTCTCTGCTGTCTTGCTCCTTAGTGATGGTGGCAACAGCTAATCAAGTAGATGAGGCAGCCCAGGCAGCTGTTGCTGCCCAGATTAGCTGTTGCTACCTTGTTGCTAGAAAGTGTGCCTTTGGTGGGACTTTGTAGCACTCCAGCCACAGTTTTCTAAATGTATGTACACTGTAGCACTGTATTTTTGTAGTGCTTCAAAATGCTGATTCAGCAAAAGGTTTGTAGTGCTGGACAACGATGTATGCACGCAGCTGAAGTATGGCTTTTGTAGATGGTCTCAGCAAAGATCTTCATTGTCAGTCATGGATGGATGCTCTGGGCTGGGAATTTGGCCATGACAGCTTTTGCTCTGGACCCTGCTGTATTTCTCACTGTTGTGATGCCATTTAGCTTGTCTGGTCCAGTCTTTCTCAAGCCAGGGTGAGGTAGGTGGTCCGTTCCTACTAGTTCTATATGATGCAGATATATTTGGTCAGAAAATTATTGGTCAAAAGACATTGTTTGCAAATCCCATTAAGGCTTACCAGCAAATGATTGTTTGGAGAGAAGCTGAGGTCTGTTGGCTTTACCCAGGGTAAGTACTTGAGATAGTTAGGCCATTTTAGACCCCATAGCTTCTCTTTCTAAAGCTCTTGAGAGGGGTAAAAGAGGGGAAAGTGGAACCTGAAACCAAAAAAGGAACATTGGAACATCAAAAATTAGATCTCATTGTTTCATTCACCTACCAGATCTAATTTCTGGCTCTAATCCATCAGTCCATTGATTTTCTATTCTTCCCGTCTATACCAGGCATGATCTTTAACACAGGTTGTGTCTGGTACCAGTAGACCTTCTTATTTGAACCATGACAGGCGGTCTCCTTTTCATGCTGTAATTAACATTCATTGTCTATTTTAATGTATAATGCACTTTACCTGCTTCTCTGACAACAACATTCACAGTTAGAATATACATGCTATTCCCTAGGTTTTTTTGTTCTTTTGCTGACCAATAGAAGATACTGTATGTAAATTTAACTTTATCAATGATGTCATATGACACGGTCAACTATAAATCTTGTATTACCATCTGGAATCTTAAACAATGATTTCCCTTTGTACGCTGTCTATAGTATACGCATAGGCCATTCCACATCATTTTTATATGTGTATACCATTGCTGTACATACTGTTCACTTAGGAATTGATCCAAAGCCCACTGAAATCAATGGGAGTTTCTCCACAAACTTAATTTAATGGGTTTTGGATGAAACCCAATAAACCAGACATTGACTGCCTCTTACACCGATGAACCATGACTTCTACTTGTATGAGTCTACCGAAGAGACTTCTCCTTTAAGCAAGGGATTTACAGTCTCACCTGTCGGACAGTACCTACTCATTTTGGATGATTGTTGATATATTACCATGAAATGTTTAAACAAATTCAAAGAAGTTAAAGACGAAGAATTTAACTTGTTATGTTAACAGTTATGTTACTATAGACAAAAGTCAGCAAAATGCTTGTCTGGCAAATATCATGTGAAATGTTTTTGAAAGGGAGGGAAGTTCAGTGCGTATAATGGTATACAACTAAGAAGGCTTAAAAGTCATGTCTGTACTTGCCTAATGTCTAGTAAGAATAAGTGTCTAGTAAGACTTGTTATGGTTTTAGTGACAGTTATTGTGCCGACAATCAGGGCAAGGAGTTGTAGGGCTGCCACTAACGATAAGAAACAAGTAACTTAAATAAAAATAGCACCTGTAAAAAAAAAAAAGAAAAGAAAAGAAAATCTTAAACCAGAAACCCAGCCAGTTTTCATCTTTTCATGCTTTCAGCCAGCACTTGATTATCTGAGTGGTGTTTTTTGCATAGAGGCTGTGATTCAGGAAAGCTTTCCTGTTCAGGACCACTAAAGATATGGTTATTTTCCACTGAAATCCATGAGATTTAAGCACACGTTTTAGTGTTCCCACTGTGAGGATTGTAAATTGTCCTCTGATGTGGGGAAGTTTCAAAACCTTAAATACTTTGAGATTAAGACCATCTTAAAGCATACCACAACCCCTCCAAGTGAAAACCAAGACACTGATCCCACCAGCTGTTCTACATGGTCAGGCACCTGTACAGCATGGAGCTCAGATGTAGCCTGTGACATTACTCCTCAGCACAAATCAGTCCAAAAAATACTAAGTACTCCAATATGATGAAATACCTGCAGTATTTATACAGTCAAGCAGAATGATTTAATTCCATATTTTCTCTCCTCCAGAGCAGGGACTGTGTTTTGCAGATGTTCACACAGCAGTGATAGTCATACATAATGAGAGCCCAACATGGCTGTTGGATGTAGATGCTACGGCAGTGGAAATGTTTAATAACAATATGATTTTTGTTTTTCAAAATTGCTGTCAATTTCAGCTGACAAGTGAGAAGGAAGATTTTTTTCCCTAACTACCAGTGTAGCAAATTCAGCCTTAACACCTGTTTTTTCTGTGTGTATTCTCGTCAAGAATAAATGTAACTGGGACTTGGCTAGCATTTTTGCTAAAGATGCAAAACGAAGAACGTGATCTTTTTTAGTATTTAGGAGCTACTGTATATGATTTTTGAATATTAACAGGCATAAAAATTACTTTGGTTGCAAGCTTCAAGCATATCCGTTTTAGTTATAGTTATCATTCTCCTACTGATATGAATGCTAAAGTTGGGATTTGTCATAGAAGGGAAACTAGACTTTGTAGGCTTTACCAGTTCAGCTCTCGTTCTAACTAATTTCAACTGGAGCTTTTGCTATACAAGTTTTGGAGTATGGAGGGGTTTTTTTATTCTACCTTCCTGAAATCTCATCTAAATACTCATGTGACCATCAGAATGTCCTCCTCAAACTGGTCACAAAAACAAACACTGTAAATTCTTAGTTAGCAGCAGGACAAAATAGCACGCTTATGTTGTGGTACCCAGTTTTGTGTTTGCAGTTGTATTGTTTTAGATTATGATCTTAATTCTTGTAAAACAAAGCAGGTCAGACTTCCTCATAAGATCAAAGAAAATCTCCAGGGACAATCAGACTGCTGTCATAAGCATGGATGGTTATTTACTAGTTAGTTCATGATGCTGGAAAGCACTGGGAAGCATTCCAGCTAACTCCCAACTCCCATCTTCTTGCATTTCTGTCAGAGTGCTGCCTTTAAACCATGTTTCTATACCTTTTGTGTATGCTTATTGATCACATATAATGTTCCCCATCTACAATGCTCATGACTTCTAGAGAGATTTCTTTTTCTCCATCTCACTTCACAGCATTGTGACTGTTGGACTTTTTTGTGGAGTGGTAGGGAATGGATGTTGCCCTCTCCCATCTGTTACTGCTCTCCATCCTTCTGGTCACCTACGAGGGCAGAGGGTTCTGCTAGGCTTTCTCCTTTCCCAGACTTCCATTTTTTTTATTTGGTGGATGCAGATGAGTCCTCCTCCCCTGTGAATAATTCCTGTGCTAGTCTCTCTCCAAGGTAGCAGGAGATTGAAATTGTGGTGGTACCTGGCAGTTTCATTGTTGCCCACTGGAGGTTCTGAAATTTACCTTTGCCCTTAGGGGGGAAAATATTCTTCCCCCAATTAAAGCTGTAAGTAATGGGAAAAAAATGTTTGCTTATGTCCAGAATTTTTGCCAGGGGAAGTTTTCTGTTCCTCATGTTATTTTAATCAATGGCTTGAGATAACAGTTATGATATACTACAACAATACATTTCTGAATGAAATCTGAGTCACTGTGGCCAAAAAAAGGCTTCTGGAAGAATGATTAGTCACTAAGCATTGAGTCCTAAATTAAAAATAAGGCAACTTCCAGCAGCAGATTTCTCGGGTGTTCTCTTAAGCATCCAAAACTATGGTCATCATTTGTCCATTAGCTTAGGGGTTGTCTGCTGTGGGTATTTGGAGAGATGCTAGGGGATACACATGGGTTGGCAGGTACGGAGCACTGCCACCCACCACCCCGTGCCACTGGCTCCCAGGAGCAGGGCCAGGAGGAGGCGAGGGTAGCGGCTCACTTCTGAGGGCTGCACAGGTACCGTCTGGCCAGCCGGCTGGGGGGTGAGGGGGGTAGCTTGCACGTGGCGGCTGCTGCCTCCATCCACCACCCCATGCCACTACGTGCAAGCCCTGCCTCCCCACACCCGCCGGCTGTGCATCCATCCACTGCCACCCCCACCTCCCCACCACTCCACATCCGGCCACTGACACCAAAAGGGGTACATTCCTTAAAAAAGGTTGAAAACCCCTGCATTAGCTTAACACCTGATGTTCTGCCAGATATTGATGTTTAGTGTATGTTGTTTTACTATGAAAGTGATTTGGTTCACAGAATTTCAGAACTACCTCATTCCTTTCCCAAACACTGTAGAAACCCTACAGAACACACACTGTAATATCACAGTCTACATTAGTGATCTCCAACCCATGACTCCCACATTGCCTATGAGACCCTTTGCTGTTGCTTACGGCCACAGGAAATTAAAGCTGAGGTTGACAGAAAGAGCAAAGTGGTAGGTTACCAGCAGCACAATTTTTGCTCAGGATTGCTCTCTATGGATAAGTGAAGGTTGGGGCATGCACTCCTAGAGAATATAATATAATAATAGAGGCATAAAGGACATTTCATTGGTGCATACAATCCAAGTTAGTTTTTACTGTTAATAATGACTCATTATATAACTATTTCACTCATTTCTCTAAATATCACAGGGACATGCTGGAACTCTCAATATTTGAATTGAAAAACACAGTAATGGAGCTGGAAAAACAACTTGGCAGTGTTGAGGATGAAGGTAAGTAAATTATAGCAAACTCCTGTTAAAACAATAGAAAACACAGGCAGCGACCTGCTCGGTGTGCTGCCAACCAAATGCCGAGGGACAGACTCAGCACTATAAATTCTTATATACAGATTTAGGCTTTGCCACTTAAAACAGAATACTCTTCACATAGAGCTAACATGTTTTTAGTGTTGTTTTAGCATTTAACATTGGAAAAAATAGCAATAAAAGCTGTGGAAATCCTTTAGTCACTTATTTTGTACTTTTTTCATATATTTGTTACTAATGGAATTTCGTATAAAACATTTATTAGAGTTCCTTGGTGAATCTAAACCTGAAGCCCATTGAAGGCAGTGAGATTTCACAGGAGGATTTCACGTGTTATCTTTTTCTCATTCTTTTGCATGTAAAAGGATATTTTTTTGAAGAAAGTTGGAGTTTATTTGAATTAGCAAGGTTCTAATATCAGAATCATCAATTACATTTAGAATGAAATATAATAATCCTGTATTTCTTTGAAGGCAATGAATGGAAAACTAGATATGAAACACAAGTTGAACTAAATGGACAGCTAGAAAGGCAAATTGGTCTCCTTCAGGAAAAGATGGACCATATTCATGGAAATCCAACAGGTAGAAATAGGCATTCATTGATTTTTCTCCCTCTAGTTTTCATCATTCTATATTAAATGTTATCACTGAGTTGCATATTTTGTTTGTTTGTAGATAGATTGTCCTCCATTCGCTTCTTTGATCAAATGCCTGTGGTGAGTACAGTCTCATTTAATTGCACAAACATCTAGAAAAGCACTGCAACTAAAACATATATAATAATGTTAGCCAGTGCCACTCAGAAAAAACAGTGGCCTGTTCCATAATCTGTAAGTGTTACCTGCTTTAGTTTTTTAATTGTGTTACCTGTGCAGCTGTTTAAAAACTTGAGGCATTTAACAAAATGGGTAAATAGAATCCTAGAAAAGTAGGGCTGGAAGGGACCTCCAGAGGTCAACCCTCTGCCTGAGGCAGGATCATTCCTATTCAAAACATCCTATACAACTCGTAATATAAACTCTACATAAGACATCCGTCAACCCTGACACAACACAGACCTAACACCCTAACCTGCCACAGGGGAACCATGGCAGCCAAGGTCCTACTTCTATGAAATGTTGTCAATATATGCTTAACAAATCTTGGGTAGAGGGCCATGCTCCCCACGCTGTAGAGGAAGGCAACCCTCCCCCCCCCCGTGCCCCCAAGTCCATACCAATCTGACTATGGAGTAAAACTCCTTCCTGATCCCAAATATGGGGATTGGTCTAACTGGGAGGTGGGGGGGAGTAGAGCGCTCTAGTTGGGAACCTCTGGCTTTGTTCCCAGCAGGAACATTAGCACACCCCAGTCAAAGTCCCCATTCTTGGTTGTAGCCAACACCCAGGACCTCTGAGGGATGCTTAAAAGCACCCTGATATGTGTAGCAGAAAAGGGAGGTGGGGGCAACCAGTAAAGCACAGAAGCATGGGAAGTACCCATAGCAGAACATAGGTATAACTATGCCCAGATCATCCCCAATAACTGTCCAGCTTCTTGAACACCCCCAGCGATGGAGAGTCCACAACTTCCCTATTACAGAGGTATAAATTGTAAGTGTATTGGTCTGAGGACTTAGGCATACAAAGTTCTTTGGGTAAATCTGATATCTTTTATTAGACCAACTCAAATAAGAAGATTTTTTCCAACTATTTGAGTTGGTCTAATAAAAGGTATCATATTTATCCAAAGAACCTTGTCTGCCACAGCTTCCCTAGGCAGTCTATTCCACTGATCACTATTCCAACAGTGAAGAAGCTTTTCCGGATATCCAGTCTAAACTTATTTTGCTGCAACTTCAAGCCATTGTTTCATGTCTTCCTCTCTACAACAGGAGAGAAAAGATTTCTTTCTTTATGGCAGTACTTCAGGTATCTGAAGACTGCCTGTGTCTTGCACCTGATGCTTCTATTGATGTATCCCAAAACTGCATTCGCCTTTTGTGCGGCCACATCACACTGCAGGCTCATATTGAGTCTGTGACCTACAAAGACTCCCAAGTCCTTTTCCATAGCACTGCCATCCAGTCAGGTATAACCCGTTTTTTATATGTATTTTTTATGTATTCCTCCTGAGGTGTAGCACCTTGCATTTGTGCGCATTGAACTTCATCCTGTTAGCTCTAGCCCAGTTTTCCAATCTGTCAAGATCTTTCTGAATTGTACTCATATCCTCCAACCTGTTTGCAGTCCTTCCCAGTTTTGTGTCATCTGTAGACTTGCTCAAGAAGCTTTTTATGTTAGCATCTAAATCAGTAATAAATACACTGAACAGCACCAGCCCCAGGACAGACCTTTGTGGGACTCCACTCAAAACTTCCTGCCATTCTGACATGGACCTGTTAATAATTACCCTTTGTTTATGGCCATTGAGCCAGTTCTCTGTCCACCTTGTAATAGTTTTGTCTTGCCCAAATAGTTTCTCCAATTTGTTTATGAGAAGGTTATGCAGGCCCTTGTTAAAAGCATTGCTGAAGTCGAGATGCACTATACCCACACCATTCCCTTCATCCACCCAATGCAGGGAATGCTTTGTCAAAGAAGGAGATCAGGTTTGTTTGACACAATTTGTTTTTCATAAATTCATGCTGACTGCTTGCAGTCAACCTTTTCTCCAGATGATTGCAAATGGCCTTCCTTAGGATACACTTCAGTAATTTACCAGGTATTGAGGTGAGGATAACTGGTCTGTAGTTCTCCAGATCATACTTCTCACCTTTTTAAAGAGGGGCACTACACTTCTTCTTTTCCAGTCCTCTGGTACCTGGCCTGTCTCTCACAGCTTAATAAAGACCATTGCCAAGGGCTCTGAGATCTCCTCTGCCAGTTTTGTTAGGACCATGGGATGAAGTTAATCTGGTCCTGCTGACTTGAATTCATTCAGACCCAATAAAAGTCCTCTGACCATCTCTTTTGTTATCTCTTCCCTAAGCTTACCTCCAGATTATCCTTATTAAGTGTCTGGCTGCAGATTAATTTTTTGGGGAAGGCTGAGGCAAAGTAGCTGTTGAGTAGATTCACCTTTGCATCTTCTGTGAAGAGTTCCCCCTGGCTTGTTAACAGAGGACCCACAGCTTCCTTGCTCCTTCTCTTCTGGCTAACATACTTAAAAAACACCTCTTCTTGGTGTCCTTGACCTCCTTTGGCAGGTGCAGTTCATTCTTTGTCTTGCCTTCCTGATTTTGTCTCTGCAAATTCTTACTATTTCTTGGTTACATAAGTCTGTCCTCCAACTCAGCACATTTCGAGCTGGAAGTCAGTGGAAGAATTAACATTGTGGGTATAGAAGATGGAGAGAATGAAGAGACAAAGAGACAAATTACCTTTATTTCATATTACTGTTTTTATTTCTTAATAGTATTTGATAGGACCTGCAAGCCCAGTTATTGATCAGGACTTTGTTGTGCTGTACGCTGTACAAACACAGCACAAAAAGATTCAAAGGATAAATTGATGTCTGAAAATGGATGCTTTCCAGACAACCAAGCAGATGTTTGGGGAAAAGCTACTTTCTCTGTATTGCACTATATAGCATTACAAGTGAATGGTCTTGATTTCACCAATGTGGCAATGGAAAATACTTAAGCATTCAGTTACCAGGGCAATAGACATGATAAGGGCCTGAACTGAACATAATTTACTCCAATGAGATCTCTAATGATTTATAAGGAAGCACAGGAATTTCTGTTCCCAGAAACTGAAAGAATTGTTGGAGAAGGCTAGTACCTTTTGCCCCGTAGAAGTAGAATCATGCTGAGGAATTATGTCTTGCTGTGAAAAACATAGACCATTCATATTTAAACAAAGAGGTATTTAATCTCAGGTTCTCATTCATACCTGAGATCTGTATTTCTTTTTGTTTCCAGAAATGTGGGTGATGTTTTACCCTTCAGAAAGCACAACAGTATGGAACCAGTAATATAAATATTTACATCTTTACCATTAAAGATTAAAAAAAATCAGTTTTGCATGTTGAGATAGAAAACTCCTACAGGGAAGAATGCTTAGTGAATAATACACATGCTGCACTGTAATTCATTCAGTACTTATGAGGAAACTGAAATTCAGTCTTTATAAAAGCTAGCCTGGTGTGAATTTTATTTATTTTTCAGTAAACCTGCCAGCATTTATTCACATCTTTTTTCATTAAGCAATATTGTGTGAAACATATAGGTTGTCTCCTAATTATCATTTCCCCGTAATAGCTGAGAGAAATCGTAATCCTTTTTTTCCTTTTCTCCTTATAGTTACTGCAAGAAGCCATTCCCAAATAGAGGCTTTAGTATGCAAATACAGGGAAGCATACTGTAGAATCAGTTCAGGGGAGCACACTTCTGATAGCATTGCCTTAGCAACGCTCTAGTTAAGATTAGCTGAGGAACCAGAGTTTCTATTATAAACCACTGTGTTCAAGATTACCCAGCAACATGATTGAGGAGATTCTGAAATTAAGGTTCAGGCATTTGCGTTGCAAAACAGTGACAACATTGGGCACTGTCTTGAGCCCCACCACATCAGCTCTTTGGGCTTTAAGGTTTGATGGTTATACCACCCATTGCCTGTGACAATGTCACATTGTAGAAGAAGCTGGCAACACAACAATGACAGGATATCTGGTCTTTAGAAAGGCATATAGGTGGGAATTTTTGTAATACATGTTGAAGGCTTCTATGAGCTTGTCCACAGGGGACATCAGCATTTTACTAAGGCAGTAGAAAAGTTGACAGTTCCCTTAGCTAGTGACCTTTAATTGAAACAGATGCATTTCTTGGCATAAGTCACAAATAGGGGTGCTTGAAAAATGGGTCTGAGTCAATTTAGGGAATGTTGCTGTTGGCATGGACAACAGTCTGCCATCTGGACTGATGTTGTTTGTCCTCCAGCCCTATCTCTCACTCTGTCTTCCTCACAGGTTCTCTTAGCTATTCTTGACTCGCATAACATACCTTAGATGTCTCTAGACATTTTGTTGATCTGTCTTTCCCCTCTTCATTGCCACCCAGGTCTGGACAGTTCTTTCTGGTGTCTTCAGACTCACCAAGTGACTGTTTCTCTCATCTTTTTTTTGGTTATCAGTGGGGTAGGGTGCACTTGCCTTTTGCCAGTAAAGCAATAATACCAGGGGGAAAGCCTGCAAGCAGCTTGCTTTATTGTCAGAAACTAGGTTTTATGGATCTTCTGTTTCCTAGTTTGTGACTGGACAGAAAATCTGGGGGTTCCCTATCTACTGCTTTGGGATTAATTATATGCACTTCTGCTGAAGAATCTTCAAGACTTCAGGGGCAGTAGGTGATACCAGATGGCCCTGAACTTTCAAACGGAGTTGTCCTGTTACCAAGATCTGTGTCAGCTTCTAGTCCAAACAAACTTAACAAGCAGCCTGACTCACAATGTTCACACACTTTTTTCAATATAGATTTTAAATGAATGATTACATCAGCCACAAGGGGGCACTTGGTATTAAAACATATATAGTGCTTCTGGGGTCATTTGTGTACTGAAACCTTTATGGTGTTTATAGCACAAGATTCAAATAGACAGGATAGGTAGAAACATGCTTTGCTACAGAATTTTAGGATTTTTTTTTTTCTGTAATTATTGCAGTATGAAATTAGAGACAGTTTATCACTTACTTAAAAATGGACCTTGATTTCAGTACCTGTAAAATTGTAGCATTA